TCAAAGTCTCCGGCAGTTGGACAAGCAAAACTCCAAATTACGGCACAATTCCATCGATGTGCTTGTGCAGGCAGTGGTGAAATTTTTGTCTCTTGTGGCCTATTGATACGTTCCTGGATTCTGTGACAGCCATCCAGAATGAAGTAATCTAAATGTAGATCTTGCAATAATAAGGCATCGATTGTTTGGATTGAGTGACTTGCAATGGCTAAATATTTCAAGTTCGATGAGACAGATACAAGATCGGCAGCATCCAATGTACGGATAGGTAAATCCAATGTCACATAAAGACTTGTTGCAGATTTTCGATCTGGTGAAACGTGCACATCAAACAAGTATTGAATGTGTTCAGCGAACCGGTCACCGAGAATCACTGGAGCCGGTGTGGTCTCATTAAATATGTTGGATTTGTCGTAGGTCACAATCACATGAATCAATCGTCCCGTGTAGTGGGCAGTGCAATCCACACGGACCGGAGTGTCGTCAGTAGAGCCAGATGAGGAGTTCCCAGTCCGTGTACAGTCTATAACGACAGGCTGATCGCTATTCACACTTGGTAACAATGTTTGAACACGTTTGAGCTCATCTGTGGAATGAGCTGGTCGAACGCCGCACTGAATTTCGCATCTAAATCTTGAATATTCCGGATCGTTTAATTGACTCAGTTGGGCGGCACTGGTGATGTGATAGGCTGCAGGATCGTCAGCCATCGCATGGTTGACTAACTGATCATTTGTGGCCGAACTGATGCTTTCCATAATGGTCAGAATGTTCGTGATGCCCAAATCCACAGTATCGCCAAATGTAGCTTGCTCATTTTCCGTGGGAGGTTGTGTTAAGGGAGAGGCATACGTTGTCAGATCACAGTGAAATAAATCGAGTATACATTGCAGTAAAACACCACACATCACAAGATACTCCGGGCTTATACGGTGCAGATTCATCCTGTCGGCATCAGGCTACATTCCATTTGCATCAGGTCAGCCAAGAAAATAACTGNCAGTAGCCGTTAGGATAGGTAGTGTGTGTGTATGAGCGAGAGAGAGGCGGAGTGGTGAGGTTCCCTCTGCAGTTTTTAAATAGAATCTGAATTATAATGGGTCTGTCGCTGCATAATTCATAATATAGGAATGAATAAAGAACTCTGATTCCATGATTGTAGCTTCATCTATGAGGACCGAAGTGAATCTTAAATTTGTGCAATGACTGGCATACAACCTACCAGGCAGAAGAGCATTCGAATCTTAGTCCATATTGGGGTGATGATGAAATGGTACCTCAGACAAGGCAGGACGTATACCGTAGTTTCACTGGCATGGTGCTTTACAATATCACTTGTTGGGCGAAAAGTGNAGAGCACAAAGTGGCCACAATGTGGACAGATACTGCAGTCACCGAATGGTTGGCTATGGCTCGTCGTTCGGTTGCACGTGCAACGTGGAAAGTCAATGCGTGTGCGGTCATCCGAACAGTCGAGCGTACGAGGAAGCGTGTGCACGGTTTACAGGTGAATGCCCATTGGGTAAGATTGGTCTGGCTCGATTGATGCTCGGTTCACTTCAATGATTGGTCCATTTAACACTCTCTGTATGATCACCAATCACGATGATGAGTTACCGCAGTGCAATCGGAGTTGTGTTCCTGCACCTTGTGGCATTCTAACAGACCAATTTGGTTTTGTAATTTATTTTATTAACCAAAATTATTCACTTTTTCTATTTTGTGAACTATCAAGAGTGCGTTTCAAACCTCTAAATCCAATTTTGGTGTACCTTGATGGAGTGGTCGCGAATGGTTTCAGACGCATTTTTCTCGAACAGAAATTCTTATAACATCAACTAAAAAGGGTTCTTACCGGCTTTTGTTTATGGTTTACACGCCCAAATAAATATTGTGTTGCGTGTCGATTTTCCCCTGTAGTTGGTGGACCAATAAATTACATTCGCCTCACTGTTCACTGAATCACAAAATAAAATAATATGTGTAATGTGTGTAAATTGGTCTGCATGCTTTAAGCGGGGCAAAGTTAAGTTGAAAGCACCCACAACAATTTGTTCACGAAAGCCCTACGAGTCTCATTGCTGCATTATTGTATTTCCAGTGTTCGACCACATTACCACATTCTGGTGTTCATTTTTTATTATCTCATTCCCTAAAATAGTAACTATACCTGATCAATTTATTAACTAATCACCTGAACCTTTGCTATTGGTGGTTGATGTTTATATTTTTATTCATATTTATTATTATATGATATATATACATTTAATATTTATTGGCAGCCATTGAGAAAGTAGAGAAATGTTTTTGAGGATCACCGCATCCTTTCCAGACACTGTTAATTGGATTTCAGATGATAGAATACGATCGTAATTCCGAATTTGTTTTTGTTTTCTTTATCCCTTCAGTTACATCTGTCCATTCAATATAAATCAAAATTATCTACTCTGTCAATGATTTTATCATGGAGGTGCACGTGTTTTATGAACTTGAGTCAAAAAAGCAATTTACCTGCAGGTGGCACATCAGTTCTGTATTCTCTGAGTTTTAAAGCCTTTCATTTCTGTTCAACTTGGTGCATTTGTAAAAAAGCCGTTAGACACATCTGGATACCAGGAAAACCGAAATCATGTAATTGCACTAAACTTGTTGGTGATAACTTCACGGTACAAATTAGATTTAGTTTTATTATTTACCATTCCAATTTGTTTGTGAAAATTGATTTGAATAAATGACTTATTCTGAATGTATACTGTGTATTTTACTTTATCACAGTGTATGAACAACCATAACAAAGAAGAACATTTATATTTGTAATTGATGACAATATGTTCAAATACCTCTCCATGACACTGTTCTTTTGCACATCAAGGCAATGGTAGTGCTAGTGGTGGGTTGGTTTAAGTCTCTAACCATGAAGTTCATCAGTTCGCTTCATATGAGTTTCTAAAGTTTCACTGAACCCTTTAATTTATCTACATGCAATTTCCACTTTGTCCAATCCTCAACCGAACCCGACCGAAGCGGGCTCAGACATCGTGATCGTATTGGTCAAGCGTCTTCANATAGGTGGATACGAGCAGAAAACTTTAAGTCCTTGTGAGTTTGGAGTTTATACTATTTATTGTATATCACAATTATTTTTATGATTACTGCCACTGGTAACTCAGGTGAATTTGTCGCTTTGCAGTGGGACGAACAGTCTTTGACTGCGCTCAAGAAGAGCTTAGTGTTTTTCACAGTGCTCATATTGAAATATTTACAACTGTTAAATTCAAATTTATTTGTTGCCAGTATAATATTTCAAATTGTTTCATGTAGAACTGATACTATAATCCGTCAGTAGCGATAGAATTTTGGACATTTTTCTAAACTTCCGAGCGTCCTGTAATTTAATAAATTCGTACGAATGGAAAAAATATACTCCGTTTTGTGCCACAAACGTTGTTGTTTGGGACGCATAAATTATGTTTAACCCACCCCCATTGTGTGTGATATTTTAATGGAGTGCATAACGTATTAAAACATACGCGATATCTATCACTTGGACGTCAAATGCGTTTTTTGACGTTTTTTGGTTAATATTGGTTTCCAAATTAAATCTGTGATAGAACAAGTAACGATCTAATTTCGCCCAACTCGTGATTCAGATGCTAGATAATCAGAGTAAAATTGTGCCACCTAATCAACTGAACTGAATGAAGTTAACGAATTAAAGAATGAATTTAACGCAAATGTAAAGTAAGGAATCTTAGCCACAACAGTTCCTGAATCAAACACGTCAGTCTCTACAGTGAGTCACAAAATAAACACTATCCGTCTCTCAGTACACTAAGCGCTATGGTCAGTCTAGTTGAAACGATCTTCAATTGCTTTTTTGATATAAACACTGAATTTGGTTCAAATTCATTTGTCCGGAAACATTAGTAGCTGAATTTCTCTGTGCCTGTCTACATATATTGATATATTTCAGAAAAAAACTAGATATATTGAATAATCAATTTTTTTAACAATGTACGAGAAATACTTTAAATTTGAAAGATAGCAAACTTTGGGGTGATACTTACTGCATTTCTTTTCGAATTGTGTAAGGCACTGCTTTTGAACGCGTTTGTTCAATCTTAAGTATAGAAGATTCCTCAGTCAACGACTAACAACAATATGGTAAGGAGTGAGACCCATTTTTCAGGAGCAATGTACTCTCTTATCGACATTCTATTTCTTGTTCGTTTATAGCAAAAGATTCGTTACGTACCTTATCATTATTGGACAAACACCGAATAAGTGATTATTGTTGTTACTCATATTATATGAAGGAACGTTGTTGCCCGATTTCCTTATCCGTAAACAATCTGGCAACAACTGTAACACAGTTGCACGAAGTTGTAATTTCTTCCCAAGCTATTGAGCACTTCCAAAGATGAATGAGAACGTGATAGGAATTGACCACATTAAGAGATAAAAAGTAATGCTTCTTTTGAAGTTCATTGCGCACTTTAATTTTGAACCAGTCTTGACCTCTTGCACTATTACTTACATGCGTGCATGATACAACTTATATTTCTTTTAAAATAATGAAATTTATTTAGATTACAAATTTTTTCCCTTGTTCTCTCAGTGAAGTTGCCAGTAGTTCAAGGATCACATAATCCGTTATTGAACATAAGAGAGTTTTGTTCAAGCTTTGAAAACATATCAGTTTGTGGTAGGCGTCCATGTAAAACTCTCCAAAGACATTACGAAACACTATTGCCAAAATTGTGCCACCAATATGGTGTGTAGCTTGCTCATCATCCACGTTTTTTGTGGAATGTTCTACTGAATCGATTTGTAAGTATAAAACAGAACATTGACCGGTATTGAAACGGGAAAACTTAAGCTTCCGGTTTGCACTGGTGTATCAAAAATTAGGAAATTACGCGTGCCAGAAAAATGTGAATCAATATAATGCTGAGTAACAGCCAGGAAAATGGCAGGTGATACAAAGTTTCCAAATATACGGCCTGCTTTTTTGGTTAATTCGGCAAAAGGAATGATCAAGGATTGCATCTTTTTCCCAGATAAATTACGAAGGAAAGATGTAGTATACAAATAGTTCTTCATGTTAAGAAAGGTTTGCTGAAACAAATTATCAAAGAATTATGAAATGCTAATTGTGACAGATAAATTTACTATAAAGGGATCATTTAGAAACTGAAAACCTGTCCTCCTGAACGGTTGGAATCAGGGTAATACACTACCGCCTAAATCGGTGTTCCAACAGCCCCATGAATTTTCTATCAGCAAAACTCTGAAAAAAGCTTTCAATATCAAGCTTTTTCTTAATCATATTGCCCGAAAAGGCTCACCTAATGATTTTCATTAAATGGTGTTGAACAGTTTGTTTAGTCAACTACGTCAATGAAAAGTGGAAAGGGATGAATTGAAAATACCAGGTTAGTGTTAAGTAGTTAAAACCACTGTTATTGAAATATTGCAATCAGAAGTTTGATGTACGATCTTTGCCACCGACGCAGAACTTTTGTGGTGAGCATCTTTTCTCTCGTCGGGCTCGGTACAGTGCTCAAATCTTTGAAGCCCTAAACATCATCATCACGACACCAATACCCAAGGTGCCGGAAAGCTGATTAACATACAATATATTTATAGATCTTCGTGGTGACGAGGTTTATCGGTTTCATCTTTGCCAACATTGGGAGGAAAGAGATGAAAAAAATAACTCATTTCACTCCTTCCACTGACCTGATAGTTCCCATTTTTATCCTTTTTTAGTATCGATGCATAAAACGTCATCTTGAATGCTTTACTTTCCTTCTGCATTGTTCAGTGATCTCTTCCTTTTGAGTTTATTAATAATATAAATAGAGAATGTCACGTTCAACTTGATATTTCTATAAAAGTATTTTACGATTTCGCTTTGGATGTCTATTCTTTGGAAGGGCTA